TACTACTACTACTACTACTACTACGACTACGACTACGAGTACGAGTACGAGTACGACTACAACTACTACTATTACTACTACTGCGACTACTACTACTGCTATCACTACGACGACTACGACTACTACTACTACTACTACTACGACTACTACGACTACTACTACTACTACTACTACTACTACTACTACTACTACTACTACTACTAGAACTACTACTACGACTACTACTACGACTACGACGACTACTACTACTACTACTACTACTACTACTACTACGAATAGGACTACGACTACGACTACGAGTACGAGTACGAGTACGACTACGACTACGACTACGACTACTACTACTACTACTACTACTACTACTACTACTACTACTACTACTACTACTACTACTACTACTACTACTACTACTACTACTACTGCTACTACTACTAACTACTACTACTACTACTACTACTACTACTACTACTACTACTACTACTACTACTACTACTACTACTACTACTACTACTACTACTACTACTACTACTACTACTACTACTACTACTACTACTACTACTACTACTACTACTACTACTACTACTACTACTACTACTACTACTACTACTACTACTACTACGACTACGACTACGAGTACGAATACGAGTACGACTACAACTACTACTATTACTACTACTACTACTACTACTACTACTACTACTACTACTACTGGCAATGCCAGTGCGGTTGCCGCCGCCAATGCCGCTGCCATCGCCACCACCACTGCGCTGCACTGTCGCAGCCTATGCCAACGACCAGCAGCAACATGAGACGAGGAGCAGGGGCCAGCATACAGAGAGAGAAGGAGAGAGCAAGCCAGTATATGTGCTGTACGAAGCCGTGCCCTGACGGTTCCTCCTCCGCGGCGCCCACGGACTTCCGCGTTCGGCGCGCCAAGGAGGGGGTGGGCGACAGGGCTGACAACGCTGACAACCACGACCACGACTACCACGGCGGATCCAGTCGTGGCGACGAGAAGCCTCCAAGAAGCCCCAAAAAGACGAACACACTACAGGGATGGCTGGCGTTGACTCGACTGGCCATCCTCCTTTATTCCTTTTACATCCGAGTAGCTGTCCCCTGTCGCACCCCCCCAATGCCAGTCGGAAGGGCGGGACAGGCGTCGCGCCTGAGACTTCCTTGACGTTTCTGCTCCTGAAGCTTCATATCAAAAGTTGGCACCAAATTCACAAATGGAGGGCGGGTCGCTTCCAAAATGCTACTCCCGCGCCAGCGCCGCGCACACTCGTTTAAAATAGGCAAGGGTGTCACGGATTCCGGGTCGGTTTCACAATGTGGAGCTCGCCTTGGCCCCGCGCACATTCGTCTGAAACATTGCAAAAGGGCTTCACGGGTTGAGGGCGGCTCGTTTCAAGAACGTGGCTCTCGCCTTGGCGCAACGCACACTTTTCTTATTACAGGAGCTTCACGGATTCCATGTCGTCTTCAAAATGTAGCTCTCGCCTTCGCGCCGCGCGCATTCGTGTTTACAAATTACAAATACTTCAAGGATTGAGGGCAGGTCGGTTTCAAAATGTGGTTCTCGCATTCGCGCCGACGAGTACATTCGTTTTGATATTTGCAAGAGCTTCGCGGATTGAGGCGGGTCGTTTTCAAAATGTGGCTCTCGTCTCAGCGCCACGCACACTTGTCTTAATCATTTGCAATGGCTTCAAAGACTGAGGGCAGGTCAGTTTCAAGATGTGGCTCTCGCCTTGGCGCCGCGCACACTCGTCTTAAACATTCGCAATGGCTTCACGGATTGAGGACGGGTCGGTTTCAACACGTTGCTTTCGTCTGAGCGCCGCTCACACTATTCATCAACTTTTGCAATAATTGCACGGACCCTCATGGTTCAAGTACCAGAAACGATGCTTTGGAACGGCTCAGGATTGACAGGGCGTTATACTTACGTGGCCTAGGAATGGTGCTCCCGGACGATTCTGGATCGTCAAGACGCAGCAATCAGGTTGATGTGTGGCGCTGGCGTCCCAAGAACGGTGTTTGGGCACGCTTCAGGATCTTCAAACGGTTGTCTCCCAAGGGCCGACTTTCCCCAATGGAAATAAACCCTTGTAGGGGGGTCTGTGAAGCGGGAGCCTGGAGGGATGTATTCCAACATCGTTGATTAATATCGGGTTTAATTACACTGGTCTTCTTCTTCCTCCTCCTCCTCCTCCTCCCCTGCCACCGTTGCTCCTTCGAGATGGGCTTCTGCGTCTGCTTGGGAGCGCCGCCTTTGCCTGCCCCGGGGGGGCCCACCACTTTGCAGGGCTGTCGCGAGGGCGAGCGAGCCCAGGCGTGGCGGGCGGACGGAGGGGGAGGAGGGAAGGGAAAAAGGGGAGTGAGGGGAGGGAGCGGGGCGCGCTAAGAAGAAAACAGCACGAAGGAGCTCCTTCCAGGGAGGAAGGAAGGGGGGGAGAGAGGGAATAGGGCGCGTCAGAGAGATATGGAGATTTCCTGCCAAGGAGGAGGGAGGGAGGGCAGCGGTTCAGAGAGGGCATGGAGGGATGCTCATGCAATGAGAGGGAACGCGCGGGGGAGCGAGGATGGAGGAGAAGGACGAGCGCTGGAGGACCCGCGGCCACTCTGTCTTACGCCACGTTCTCCAGCAACCTCCTTCAAGGGTCTCTGGAGGATGGCCATGGGCCATTGGGGGGCTACCCGAGAGAACGCGGCAGCCCAGGCCGACGCACGCTCTGGAGATCGAGGCCCTGGGCCCCTTGGCGGCTCGCCGCGCAGCTTGGCGCAGTCGCCAGCAGGCCTGCCAGACTGGAGTCGAGGACCAATTCTCGGATGAAGGGCGGCCCCGGGCCAGAGGCACCACCGCGGCCTCGCGGTCCGCCCGGCTCTGGCAGGCCGCTGCCAGCAAGCGCGTCGCTGGCCACACGCGGCGCCGACAGGGCGCGCCTTGGCACGCCGCCGAAACGCCGAAGGAAGGCTGTCCGATGGCCAGCCACGCTGCTCTCGCAAAGGCGCGGCGGCGGCTGGACCACGGTCCGGCTGAGAGACACGCCCAAAGGCGGCAACAAGCAGGACGAAGGCGACGGCCACACGAGCGCAACGCTACCCGCAGATGTGACTCTGCATAGTCGCTGAAGGGTCCCCCAACTGCCACACAGAGAGCATACACAGCGGCTGAGACTGCGGGGAACACGGCGAGGGGACCTACGATGGCTACCGATTACAAGACGCACCACGACAACACTGATCTCGCCCAGCTCCCGGCTGCTCGTGGGCGGGGATCTATACCCATATTCCACATCCGCGCCCTCGCGGGCCACGCCCCCGGGCCGCGACCCCATGGATACAAGGCGTTCGTGCTCCCAACTCTCCTGCGCTGGGTTCTCGTTAGATCACTGCGGTCTCCACTCCTTCCCTCCCGCCTCCCTCCTCCTCTCTCCCTCCTACACTCCTGCCACCCAGTCTCTTACCTCGCCGTCCCTGGGGGGCTGTGATATGCAAAACGGTCGCCACTTTTGAGGGTTGCTGGGGGTCCAGCGGACTGACGCCCTAAACGGATTCAGATTCGACCTCGCCATCCATGGGGGGCTGCGATCTGCGAAACTGTCGCCACTCCAGCGGAGTGACGCCCTGAACGGTTTCAGACTCGACCTCGCCATCCCTGGGAGGCTGCGATCTGAGAGAATGTCGCCACCTTCGAGGGCTGCCATGGGCAAGCAGTGACGCCGTGAGTGGATCCAGGTTAGACCTCGCCCTGGGGGTGGTGCGAGCTGCGAAGCTGTCGGCACTTTCGAAGGTTGTTGGGGGTCCAACGGAGGGACGCCCTGACCGGTTTCAGATTAAACCTCGCCGCTCTCGTAGGCTGCCGGGGGGCCAGTTTTCGAGGGCTGATGGGGGGGCCATCACTGCGACGCCCTAAACGGTTTCAGATTAGACCTCGACGTCCCTGGGATGGTGCGAGCTGCGAAAACATCGCCACTTTCCAGGGCTGCTGGGGGGGCCAGCACGGCGACGCCTTAAGCGGATCCCGATTCGACCTCGCCATCCCTGGGTTGGTGGGAGCTGCGAAACTGTCTCCACTTTCGGGGGCTGCTGGGCTCAGTTTAGACCGGACTCAGGCTAGACCTCGCCATCCCTGGGGGCGGGCGAGCTGGGCCTCGCTCGCATCCTGCATTTAGTTCTGAACAGCTCATCAGTCAGGACGCCAGGGCGACATCGCTGCTCCTCAGCGAAGTACTCGAGAAATCGCAGCCATCATTTCTCATCCCCCCTCCCTGTTTTTTTTTGGTTTCCCCACTCGTGGCGTCTGAGGCGGAGGGCCCACTGATATTCCCGGCGCTCCCCCGCGTCATGTTCCAATCCAGGAGTTTAGCGCCGACCGCGCTCGACGACAGGCGCGGCGTCGTCTGGGTTGCATTCTGAGCCGGGCTTCGAACTGCTGGAACGGAGTGCCTGGCAGACAATAGCGGACTGATGAGTGCATGCCGAGAAAAACATCGCATATCATAGGACTTAACAAGCATTGGTCAGGGCCCATCCCACGAAAAAGGAGAAAGGAGTGGAGCCAGGGCGAACCCTCAGAAGACCCTGGAGACCTCGGAGCCCAGGGGCCCATCCATGGGGATAATAACCGCTGGAGCCCGGGGCAAACAAGATAGTGGAGCACGTCATCTATGTCGACCTGAGACTGCGGAGGCCCTGGGCGCCCGAGAATACAGCCTCGGGGAAAAGCGTGAAACCGAGCACTCGTGCAAACACACCAGGAGAGCAAACGCATATTGGCCAGCGGGATATACATACTGGAACGACGAGCAAGAGCCTTAACCACGGAGCACACCCGACCAATGTCCAGGCTGGAAACCCCAGGGGTCCAAGCACGGGCCCGCCGAAGCAGAGCTTCTCGGGGAGGGGGGGGGGGGCGGCGGGTTGGTGAAGTCGCTTCAGCGCACGCGTATATTGCTTCTGAAAATCCTTACGCTCGTGCAGGAGATCAAAACCACGAGATTGAACTTCATCCTGATAGGTGAACATGTGAGTGAGAAAACGGTCTACGTACCAGCCTCTTTTCTGGCGATATGGGCGCCAGTCGTCATCTTCAAAAATCCTAGCGACCTGGTCTCGAATGCGAGGCAGTTCGTCGCACCGAGCAATAGATCTGGCCCTAGTCGCGGCTGCAACCGGGGGGGGCCGAGGAAACTCAACAGGAATACCGAACGCGCATAATTTCGTGCACATATCGTACGAGAGGGCATTGTTCGGGCCAGCAGACAGTAGGCGGACACAGGATTGATACACCTTATCAAGCTCACGAGTGGGACGATCCAGTTGTATAATAAAATGCAGCAGGGAGACGCATAATGTTTTGAAAAGAAGAATTGGTTGTGCAAGCCCAAGACCCAGGTCCCGAATTTCACGCAAACGTGGTTCCCCTGAAGGCCTCCTCCCCAGACCTAGGGCCGATCCAGCCCAAGGTATTTCAGGCGCAGAGCAATATCAACAAGATGGCACGGAGGGCCCAAATCAGCCATAATAGATTGAAGAGGTTCCCTGAGACGCCCATAAACTAGAACAAACGGCATTCCGGGAAATTGAGCACCAACCCAATCGAACGATTGAGCGCCTGCAGTCTAGCGAAGAGCGTCGCGGGGCCGTCGAAGAGGCAGCGGAGACCAAAGCAAAAGTCATCGGCATGCGCGAGCGTCAGCATGAGCTGGGATGGGAGCTTCGCCTGCAGCCATGCTAGAATAAGTTCTACTGCCGGGGTAAATAATAGCATCGGGCTCGGATCACCTCACCGAACTCTTCTCCCAATCATGAAGGGCCCAAGCATTTTCCAAAACACGTGCAGACTAGCAGAGTTATCCTGACAACGGGCCTGGGAGAACAGGGCGACAATCTGAGGGGCACCCATGGGGCCTAACACCTTCAGCACCCAGGGGACCATGATGGAAGGGAATGCGCATTCAAAGTCCGTCAGGACAAGCCCGCTAGCATGCCGATCACGGAGGCGCTGCTCTAACAGTAAGCTTTCTGCCTCCATCGCATTCGCAGGCATATCGCGACCACGAAAACACTTATGCGGAGGCTGAAGCAGACAGTGCCGCGCAATCTTTCGGGCGAGTAGCGTAGCCATTGAGGCCGAGAGGAGCTTCGCATTAGTATTGGCCATGCTAAGCGGGCGGGTGATAGCTGGTTCACGATAGACCCCCCCCCCACCTCCTGCTCCATGGTCTTTTTGGGTCGGAAAACCATTAGACTACTTTTCGTATCATCAGGGATGCCAGCTTGATGGGTTCCGAAAGAAGGCCTGATCACACTCGCAGAGAAGATCCCCAGCAGCAGAGGCCCTCCAGGCCGAGTAAGGAATCCCATCCTCCCCTGGCATACTGTCTTTCCTCCCCCTGATCATCTGTAACCAATCGTACTCATCCACCCATGTTCTATCAGGTCATCCTCATCTACCTCCTCAGGGGCATCAGGCATCTTCTGCGCAAAGTTAAGCAGCTCGGGCCAGAGGGGCTCGTCGTCCGCGGTAGCCCCCAAGAAAGCACTCCAGTGGTCTTGAAGGGCACGTGCAGCCTCCTCTTCTGTCTTGCTAAAGTCTCTAGAAGCCGACGGAGTCCCTGGGGGCCACGCGCGGCGCTTCATCTTCCGTCAAAGCTCCTTCCTGGCCGCCAACTTCCGCCGAGCATTGTCCTCCCCGTCGGCAGGGGATCCCGCGGGGCCCCGATCGAGCCTAGGCCAGTGCCCAGGTCTGGGGTCAGCCTCGCTCGCCTGGTTGAGCTCATCCTCTTCAGCAGACAGTAGAGAGTTGTGAAGAATCTGAGCGCGATGGCAAAGTGCATCGCACCGAGCACCCTGAAGGCCGGCAGGGAAGCGCTGAGCCAACGCCGGGCGCGCGGCGATGGCCATCCCAAGCTTGATAGAGTCGCCTGCGCGCCAGGCACGTAGGGCTTGCATGGCACGATAATGTTCATATTCAGTGTTGTCAGCAACCTTCGTGTTAACGATCCGTTTGACCTCCTCAGCAACTTCAAACATGGGGAATTTGGTTTCCGCAAGCTGGGCCCACGGGTCACCGCCAAGGAGCGCGCGGATGGCGCCGTCCAGGAGATCAGAAAACAGCGGGTGCCGAGTAATCCAGGAAGCCAGGCGCTTGGGGGCATCCTGGGGCTTGAAGGTGCTGGTTGAGACAACAATCGGGATGTGTTTAGAGATCATGCCAACCTTCAGGGGCCCGAGCGCCTCGCTTACAGTGGTGGTGTCGGACGCCAAAGCAGAGGGAGGCGTGCTGCGGCGCGGTCCAGTCTAGCTGCATGGGTAGTGGCGCCATCCCTGACCTCCCTCCTCGCATCCTCGTATCAGTAAAACTCAATCCACAAACCACAGAGACGATGAAAAAGCGATGTGTGATTGTCATCCCCTGGCGACAACCCACTGCCATCGGCCCTGGGCCGACCGTCGGAAGAGAGCGCAAAGCTCCAATCCCCAGTCAAGATAGCGAACCACTCAGCAGGGCTATGGCGGGCACGAAGGATGGAACGGATAACATTCGACAAGATACTCGTAAACTCATTGGCGTTCGGCACGCGCGCGCTGATAATGCAAAGATTCCTCGGGGGACCAGAGAAGTAACACTTGAGGATGCGACCTTCGATGGCACGCGAGTGAATAGTAGAAGTAAAAAGCTTAGCACATGCAGGCTGGATATAAGTGATGGCGCCGCCAGCAGCGGACGAGCCAGAAAACAGAGAGTGACCGATCTCGAAATTCCGAAGTTCTCGCCGAAACTCGTTCATATCTGCTATATGTCCGTGGGTTTCTTGAATACAAAATACCGAGCAAAACGCGGGGCTGCTTTCGTACTTCTGATCCGCAAGAAGGGCAGCCGCATTCCAAGAACTAATCTTCATCGGTGAGGGGGGAAGAAGGGGCGGGCCCTGACCGTGGAAACAGACATCTGCACAGGACCCCGGTCACTATCAGGACAACAGAGGCACTAGCAGTGAGAGCACAAGACGGAGGCAGAGGCACATCTTCAGTCCAACAGACCGTCTGACCAGAGTCATCTAATTGGCTAGAGAGGCAAGGGGGGGTGACATCCAGGCTAGCAGCGTTGGGGCGCACTTCTGAAGGTTGTCTCGACCCCCTCCCTCGTTGTAGTCCTCTTCCTCCTTCGCTGTCTCGCTGCAGCTGCCGCGTTGAATTTTAGGCGCCCGTTCCATCCTTCACTGGCCCCTCCTTCCCGCCCTCTTCTTCTTCGAGCCTGAAGCCTCGCTCCTCGCCCCTTCACTGCTGTCCTGCGGGTCGTGCAACGCGCGCGCGCCATGCAACTTATGCAACAAGCGGCGGTTCTTGCAGTGCCGCTATCCATAGGCAGTGTGGGCCGAATATTCTGGCCACCTGGCCGCTTGCTCGATGCAAGTGGGCTGGGTACATCGCAGGGTGATTCTCGGATTCCAAGGCCCGGGATTCCAGGGCCCACGAGTCTAAGGCCCAGGAGTCTAGGGCCCTGGAGTCTAGGGCCCTGGAGTTGTGGGCCCAGGAGTCTAAGGCCCATGCGCCTACGGCCCCGGAATCCGGGGCAGATTAGTCTGGGGGCCTGGGGTCTAGAGCCCAGGAATACAAGACCCTGGAGTCTAGGGCCCAGGGAGTCTGAAGCTCTGGAGTCCAAGGCCCTCGAGTCTGCGGCCCAGGAATCTGGGGCCTCGGAATCTGAGGCTCTTTTTTGGGGGGCGGTCACCGGTGACCAGGCCAGTTCGCAGGCCGCGAGGCCAACGCGCCAACGCTGCGCTGAAGGGAGGCGCGCGGCCAAAGCGCGAACTCCCGAAAACAGGGGGGCCCCTTGCCCAGCCACCTCGCCCCCCCAGCACTAGTCAGAGCACGGCTCCGATCTGGGCTCCTGAGACAGGGGCGCGCCGCCCACCTCCTCGCCGAGGGTGACCGCCACGCTCCTCAAAGAGGAACCCGAGGACGAGGCTGGAATGGGCGCGGGCAGAGCCTGCCCCACAAGAGAAGCCACGCCCGCGTGCAAGGCACGGGCCGCCCCCTCCCCCTCGGCCTCGAACTCGCCATCGAAAATTGGGCCAGGGCGCGGGAACTCGCGCAGCCCTGGACTCCGCGCTACTTCTCTCCCCGCCCGCCGCCGCGCCGCCCCCCGCCCCCAGTGCTTCCTCGGCAATCCGAACTCTGATGGCGGTCCAGAACTCAGGGGGGGGGGGGGGGGGCGGCCGTGGGCGAGAGGAAGTGCTGCCGCGAAGCGGTGGCATATGCGCAAACATCGGGCGCTGAAGCTGGCACTTCGCGCGCCGCGCACGACGCGCTCGCATCGCGCTGCGGGCGCAATCCCCGCGTCGGGCGCTCTGAGACTCAGGTTGGCGTGCTTCCGCCAGCCTCCGAATGTCATGCCGCGCGCAGCTGCCGCGAACGACGCAGACATGGACAATGGCATCACTTCATTTCCTACCTGGGCACTCGCATTCTTGTGGCCACTGTCAGCTGCCCTAGCAGAGGGTGGGAAAACCCTTTGGGGGCCCCCTGGCACCCGACCTCGGGTCTGTCCGCGCGGGGCGGGGCCATCCAGCTCGGCGCCCAGCGCCGCAGTGCCCGAGCAGAAGAGCTCCGATTTGTGAAGCAGCAGGCCCTCGCGATTGAAGCCCTCCTCGAGCTGCTCGAAGGCGCCCCCCGCGCGCTTCTCGCAGACGCCTCTCGCGCCCAGATTGTCCGCGCGCCCGCGCTCCAGATGCGCCGGGCCGCCGCTCGGCCCCGGGCGCGCCGCCGAGGGGGGGCCGCGATCATGCAGCGGGGCTTCGCCCAGCGCGGGGGTCACCTTGCGAGCCGCGGTCTCGTTCGCACGCTGGGCGATGCAAGGGCTCCAAGTGGGGCCCGTCGGCGGCGCGGCCCAGCGCGGGCAGACGACCTCCGCCCGCCCCAGCTGCCGGCCCCCCCACCTCCGCGTTCGCCGCGCCGAGCACGCGCGCGGGCGCCGGCGGCGGGCAGAAGTTGTCGGACAACCAGCTCGGCACTCACAGGCGGTGGAAGCAGTTGGAGACGCCCGAGAGGCCCACCGCGAGGTAGAAGGCGCCGAGCAGCTCGGCGGCCCGCTCGGAGCCCGCAGGAGCCGTCGCGGGAAGCTCGAGTTCAACGCGGGAGAGCCCTTCCGACCTCAGCAGCGACGCGCCCGGCGGATCCCCGATGCACTCGTTAGCCCGCCTCGCATCGACGATGAACCTCTGGGCCGCCCCGCCGTCGTCCTCCACCGGGAAGAGGCCCGCCTAGCACTTCGGCGTGGACGTCCAGGAGATGGTGCCTACGTCGGCTAGTCGACGGAGCGGTCGATGATTTTCCTTATGACCCCAGCGCTGGATCGGAGTGAGGGGCCGCGCTGTACTCTTCAGTCTTCAGTGGGTGGCGCCAGCATGCGCTCGCGATTATCCCCCAGACAATCCAGGACCTCGGCGGGCACCACTTTGGCGATGAGCGGACGCCAGCACACGGAGCCAGGCAGGCTCACAAGGTCAAGCAGGAAGAACGTGAGCCAGGTCGGACTTCCCGCTGCCCGATGCGGCGAGCGCCCGCGAAGTGGCTTCTTGAAAGCTTAATCTTCGCAGTGGCCAGAGAGGGGCGCGGGTGCCGGCTGTCCGCCAACTCGCGCGCCCACTGTTGCGCGTCGGCCTGCACGTCGCCCGGCGCGACGTCGGGGCCCGCGTCGCCCGGGACAAAATCATCGCAACCAGCCATCAAGTTCAGGCCGCACAGTGCGTCGTTCGCCAAACGGACAGTCTTCGCTGCCCACGCGAGGCCGCCAGTCTGGGGCGGCCGCCAGTTCCCTGATCTCGGCCGAGGGCGGGGAAAGCCCCGGCCGAGCGCCCCGTCATAGGGGGCCGCCGTTGCTGCCGGCGCCATGGCTGCCCCCTTCTGGCGCCTCGGCATCGCAGCCCCCCTCCTCCTTCAGCGTCGTCGGCGCCGCACCGCCCCCAGTCTGGCCCGCAGCGGCGGCGTAATGGTGCTCCAGGAGCTCCACGTGCGTCCGTCTGGGGCCCGCCTGCTCCATCATGATACCCGCGAGGCGGCGGTCCATCACCTCCAGCGCGCGCGACGAGCCCAGGTTCGCACTGTCGTAGCAACCCGCGAAATACAGGGCCTCGCAGATACCCTGCATCTCGAGCGCCACGCGGCTGCCAGGGTCCAGCCGCTTCTCGCGCAGGTAGTCCTGCAGCCAAGCCCGAGGATCCCCGCTCACCCTCAGCATGCTCCGACTGATGGTGAGCGCGATGGGCGGGGCGCGCGCCAGCTGATCGGCGACGGGGCCCTGCGCGCTGCCTGCCACCGCCTCCCGCCAGGTGCGAGCCTGAGCGACCAACGGGAAGCTGTCCTCGTCCTCCGCGTCGCTATCCTCGGCGAGCTCCTCCGCGCCGGCGGGGAGGCCCAGCAGGCGCCTGCGCCGGGCGGCGAAAGCGGGGGCCGCCTCCACCCAGCACGGCGCGCACCACCTCGTCGTTCTGGGCAACGAAAGCCTGCCAGGCGGTCGCGGCCAGCACCCACGTGGACGTCCACCTCGCTACCGACTGGCTGGTCGCCGACGGGCTCGGCGAGCACCCAGATGAAGCCCAGCAGGCCGACCAGCCAGGGCCCGCCAGCCCCGCGGCCCGGCTCGCCAAGCAGGCCGCAGGGGGCCGCTGTCGAGCGGCGGCTCCAACTCCGGCTCGCCCGCCCGCGCCGGCGGCCAGCGGCCACGCGGGCCGCGGAAGGCTGTCCTCCAGGAAGCGCTCCACTTCCACCGGCCGCACGTCCGGGCCCAGCAGTAGCGTCGGCTCTCGCCCGGCTAGCCCCGCCCGGCGCCCGTCCTCGCAGATGCGCCGGCCCCGCAGGACGGCCTGCCGTAGCGCCCGGGCGTCAAGGCGGGGCTCGAAACGACAGAGGCCTGGACCACGACGGCTCGGGGGCGCCGACCCGTCAGCAGGCAGCGGGTAGCACTCCGTCGGCCCAAAGCGGACGTCCTGGCAGGCCAGATCCAGAAAACATTCATCTCCGTCTACCGTGCGAGTCCACAACGCCCCGCCCGCCAGCGGGAAGAGGAGCAACCTCTCGTGATCCTCAGCGTCAGCGTCATAGACCATGCCGACGTACTGTCCAGGCACACGTTCACTGTACCACTCCTCCGCCTCGCCGCGAGGGAGCCACGTCATCCCTCCGACGAACCGCACCGCTACGGCCTCGCGCCTGCCAGCGCCCGATCAGGTAGCCGAGCACGTTGGTCAGCACCGAAGGCCCCAGCACCAGCAGCTGACCCGCGGCCGTGAACCCCGCCTCCGCGGGGCACGCGCCGGGCAGGCTGGGCACCCCGGCGTCGGCGGGCAGACCGACGCGAGCCACTCGGGCGGCCCCTCCGGGCACGCTCGGGCCAAGGCGGAACCGAAGGGCCAGAGCCCAGATCAGCTCCGCGCAGGCAGGCCCGTACGGGGGCGCCGCGACCCCGTTCATCGCCGCCTCTCTCGCCGAGAGGAGGCTTGAGCATAGATTACGGCAACGGGAGACATCATTCGCACATAATGCCCTTCACCTTCCCGTGCAAGCACACACAAACAACGAAACGCAGCTTGGATCCGCGGCAAAACAACACGAACAACGAAACGCACACCAAACAGACACGCGTAACATTCACAAACTGTTAAAACAAAGACGACCTACACAACAAAACATAACGAAACATTCTCCTGGCGAAACACCCAACCATACGCAATTGAAAACACCGCATAATGATTATCTCCTCCGGTGGAGTTCCCGGGCCGCACGCGAGCGCAGACCATTGGTGCATTCGGTAGCTCCCCACGGGGCCGCGAAACGTGTGAGGGATGTGCCGGAATGGGGGTGGAACCGCATGCAAACGCAGACAATTGGGCCTTCGGTGGAGCCCCCAGTGGAGCCACGAAACGTGTGAGGGGTGAGCCGGAATGGGAACGGAACCGCATGCGAACGCAGACACGGGGGCTTTCGGTGAGGCTCCCTATGGGGACACGAAGCGTGTGAGGGGTGTGCCAGAATGGGGCTGGAACCGCATGCGAACGCAGCCACTGGGGCCTTCGGTGGAGCTGCCTATGGGGCCACGAAACGTGAGGAGTGTGCCGAGGTGGAGGTGGAACCACGTGCGAAAGCAGTCACTGGAGCCTTCGGTGAGGCTCCCTATGGGGACACAGGGCGTGTGTGAGGTGTGATTACGTGGGGGCGAAACCGCATGCGAACGCAGACATTGGAGCCTTCGGTGGAGCTCCCTATGGAGCCACGAAGCGTGTGATGGATGTGCCGAAATGGGGGCGGAACCGCATGCGAACGCAGCCAATTGGGCCTTCGGTGGGAATCAATATGGAAACACGAAACGTGCTAGAGGTGTGCGGGACTGCGGGCGGAACCGTATGCGAACGCAGTCACGGGGCTTTCGGTGGAGCCCCCTCTGGTGCCACGAAATGATCGGGTGTGCCGAAATGGGAGCGGAACCGCATGCGAACGTAACCGCTGGGGCGTTCGGTGGAGCTCCCTATGAGGCCACGAAGCGTGTGAAGAGAATGCCGACATGGGGGTGGAACCGCATGCGAACACAGCCACTGGGGCCTTCGGTGGAGCCACGAAACGTGTGAGGGGGTGCCGAACCGAGGGCGGAATCGCATGCGAACGCAGTCACTTGGGCATTCGGTTGGGTTCATGTGGGACCATGAAACGTGTGAGAGGTGTGCCGACCTGGTTGGCATGTGGAAAGCAGAAGCAGGGAGAGGCACAAGGGAGGAGGGAGGAGGTAAGGATAGGAGGGACGTGAGACGCTGTCTCTGCAAAGCGAGGAACCAGCACCACAGGATAACTGGAAACACACATCGAACAACAAACCAAGGGCCAACACCTGACTAAACAGCGCTGGGCTCGGACCTTGCACTAGCAGCAGTAGTTGCAATCGTGCTGATAGTAGTAATACTAGTAGTCGTCGTCGTCGTCGTCGTAGTAGTAGAAATAGTAGTAGCAGTAGTAGTAGTAGTAGTCGTCGTAGTAGTAGTAGTAGTAGTCGTCGTAGTAGTCGCAGTAGTAGTAGTAGTAGTAGTAGTAGTAGCAGTAGCAGTAGTAGTAGTAGTAGTAGTAGTAGTAGTAGTAGTAGTCGTATTAATCGTAGTAGTAGTAGTAGTAGTAGTAGTAGTAGTAATCGTCGTAGTAGTAGTAGTAGTAGTAGCAGCTGTAGTATTGGTAGTAGTCGTAGTAGTAGTCGTAGTCGTAGTAGTAGTAGAAGAAGCAGCAACAGCAGTAGTAGTAGTGGTAGTAGTAGTAGTAGTAGTAGTAGTGCTACTAGTAGTGGTAGTAGTAGTAGTAGTAGTAGTAGTATCAAAAAAGTAGTAGAAGTAGTCGTAGAAGTAGTAGAGTAGTAGAAGCAGTAGTAGTGGTCGTAGTGGTAGTGGTGGTAGCAGTAGTAGTAGCAGCTGTAGTATTGGTAGTAGTAGTATAGTAGTAGTAGTAGTAGTAGTAGTAGTAGTAGTAGTAGTAGTAGTAGTAGTAGTAGTAGTAGTAGTAGTAGTAGTAGTAGTAGTAGTAGTGTTAAGAGAAGTAGTGATGGTAGCAGTAGTAGTAGTAGAAGCAAAAGAGTAGTAGTAGTAGTAGTAGTAGTAGTAGTAGCAGTAGTAGTAGTAGTAGTAGTAGTAGTCGTAGTAGTAGTAGTAGTAGAAGTAGTAGTAGTAGCAGTAGTGGTAGCAGTAGTGGTCGTAGTCGTAGAAGTCGTAGTCCTAGTAGTCGTAGTCGTAGTAGTCGCGATCGTGGAAGTAATACTAGTTGTAGTCGTACCAAAAGTACGACTACTCCTACTAATACAAGTACTAGTACTAGTACCTGTACTACTACTAATATGGTTAGGAATAAAATTAGGAGTGGTAGTAGTAGTCGTAGCCATAGCAGGAGCAATCGTCGTAGAAATAGTAGTAATATTAATAGGAGTCGTAGTAGTAGTAGTAGTAGTAGTAGTAGTAGTAGTAGTAGTAGTAGTAGTAGTAGTAGTAGTTGTAGTAGTAGTAGTAGTAGTAGCAGTAGTAGTAGTAGTAGTAGTAGTAGCAGTAGTAGTATCAGTAGTGGAGTCGAGTAGAAGTCTCGGCCGTAGTGGTAGCACGGGTCGTAGTAATAGTCGTGTCATCACTAATGATACAAGGCGAAGTAGCCTTGGTACTACTAATCGTACTAATGGTGGTGTTGGTGGTAATCGAAAAAACTGCGGTAGCAACTTCAATCGGAATAGTCGACATCGTAGCAGCCGTCGTAGAGGTAGTCGTAGTAATAATCACAATAATACTAGCAATACTAATGGTACTAGCGGTGGTAGTCGTAGTCGTAATAGTCGTACTCGTAATGTTAATATGAACCGTATTATTATTTCCAGTAAACATGCTACCGTTACTAGTACAAATATGAGTACTGGTAAGACTAGGAGTCGTGATAGTAGTAGTAGTATTAGAATAGTAGAACGTGTGGTAGCAGTGGTCGTAGTCGTAGTACTAGTAGTAGCCGGGCCAGAAAACATGGCAGAAGGGGTAGCAGTAACGGTACACGTAATAATGGTAACAATGGTGGTTGTGGTGGCAGTAGTCGTGATGGTGGTCGTATTTTCAATATCAATAGGTCGTCATCATAGTAGTCGTCGTAGGGGTCGTAGTAGTAGTAATAGTCATAACCGCATAAACAACCCCAGAATTTTCCAGCGGTAGTGGTAGTAGCCGTAGTCGTCGTAGTAGCCGTCGTCGTCGCAATAATGATAATTGTAACAGTAGGAGCCGTAGCAACCGTAGTAGTAGCAGTAGTAGAAATAGTAGTAGTAGTAGAAGAAGAAGTAGTAGTAGTAGTAGTAGTAGTAGTAGTGGCCGTAGTAGTAGTAGTAGTAGTAGTAGTAGCAGTAGTAGTAGCAGTAATGATAGTGTTAATCGTGGAAGTAATCAGAGTCGTCGCCGTCATACTAATATTAATAGCTGTAGTCGAAGTAGTAGTAGTAGTAGTAGTAGTAATAATAATTGTTGTAGTAGTAGTGGTAGTTGTTCTCGTACTGGTCGTAGCAGTAGTAGTAGTAGTAGTAGTAGTGGTAGTAGTAGTAGTAGTAGTAGTAGTAGTAGTCGCAATCGTATTAGACATTACTACTGCGACTAATAGTGGTAGTAGTAGAGTAAGGATAACCGTGAAGTAGTGGTGCTCGTAATATTAATACCACTAGTAGAAGGAATCTTAGTGAAGGTAAAGAAAGTAGTAGTAGTCGTAGTAGTGGTAGTAGTAGTGGTAGCAGTAGTGGTAGCAGTAGTGGTAATAGTAATAGAAGTAGTAGCCATAGTAGTCGTAGTCGTAGTGGTCGCGATCGTAGCAGTAATACTAGTTGTAGTCGTAGCACGAGTACGACTACTCCTACGAGTACAAGTACTACTACCTTCACGATTACTAATATGGGTAGTAGTAATATTAGGAGTGGTAGTAGTAAACGTAATAATAGCAAGAGTGATCGTAGTAGTAGAAGTAGTAGTAGCAGTGGTAGTAGTAGCATTAGTAGAGTAAAAGAAGTCTCGGCCGTAGTGGTAATAGAAAAATGTGGTGTTAGCTTCAACCGGAATAGTCGTCATCGTACTAGCCGTCGTAGAGGTAGTCGTAGTAATAGTCACAATAACCGTAGCAATACTGATGGTACTAGCGGTGGTAGTCGTAGTCGTAATAGTCGTAACCGTAGTGTTAATATTAATCGCATTATTCGTACCAGTAAACCTGCTACCGTTACTAGCATTACTACTAGTACAGATATGAGCACTGGTAAGACTAGGAGTCGTGATAGTAGTAGAAGTAGTATTAGAGTAGTGGAACATGTGGTAATAATGGTCGTAGTCGTAGTACTAGTAGTAGTCGGACCAGAACAATGGCAGCAGGGGTAGCAGTAACTGTACACAGAAGAATGGTAACAATAGTGGTTGTGGTGGCAGTAGTCGTGGTAGTGGTCGTATTTTCAACAACAATAGGTCGTCATCATAGTAGTCGTCGTAGGGGTCGTAGTAGTAGCAGTAGTATTAGTAGTAGTAATAGTAATAATAATAGTAGCAACACTAAAATGTATTGGTGGTAGTGGTAGTAGTAGTAGTCGTCGTAGCAACCGTCGTCGTCGCAATAATAACAATCATGCTAGCTGTAGTAGTAGTAGCCGTAGTAACCGTAGTAGTAGTAGTATGAGTAGTAGTAGTAGTAGTAGTAGCAGTAGTAATGGTAGTAGTAGTAGTAGTAGTAGCCGTAGCCGTAGCAGTAGTAGTAGTAGTAGTAGTAGTAGCAGTAGTAGCAGTAGTGGTAGTGGTAGTCGTGGAAGTAATCGTAGTAGTCGCGGTCGTACTAATATTAGTAGCTGTAGTCGTAGTCGTAGTCATAGTAGTATTACTCGTACTGGTCGAAGTAGTAGTAGTAGTAGTAGTAGTAGTAGTAGTAGCCGCAATAGTATTAGTACGATTACTGCT